TAGACTGAAATATGTTATACAGAGTGAATTCTGATAGTTAGAATCTTTCTTGGAGAATGGTATTCCTGTGGACAACATAAAAATGTAGTAACGTGTTACTATGGCAAGTTTAATTCTGCAGTTAGGAAAGAAAGATGCAAAAAAGCTCTCCTTTGACATTTTACTATCATAGCAGTTAGCACATGGTTCTAATCCAAAAACTAACTATGGATAAAATGACACTTTTCTATTAGACTAGTCTATTCTTTATCTGTACTAAATTCCATCTAATTTTAGTGTATGTAGTCAGATACTGGCAATTTGTTTGTAAATGCTTTAAAAATATGTTTTGTCATGCTCCATGTCTGTAAGGCCCCTTTCACACATGACATTATAATATAAATTTGTTGTTGTTGTTGTTATTATTAATAATAATATGAATTAGGAATATTGCTAGGATAGTGTTTGAGGATAGTGGTTTTGTGTAAGAACAGTAAGACATAAAGACACTACACCATGTTTTATCAGAAAATGCCTTTGTATAAAGCAATTGGACATGCCACAGCTTCAAAATCCTAGCAAATACCAAAATAGCCATTTATCTAAATATGTACATTTGAGAATACAAGGGAAATGGCCATGTTAACAATGGAGCTATTATAGAAGGGCATGTTTGCACAGAGCCTCTGAAAATGTTAATGACAAATCCTGTTTCTCTAATATTTAAACCTATGCAATATATATTCACAAGTACTAAGAGTGTATGAGTCTTTATCATAGATGTGGTTATACCTGAACACATACATTTTTCCAGTCTGGCATTCTTTCATCCGTAAGAGTGATTTTCATGCACCTGTACTCTGAATAGTTTGCCACAAAGCTAAGTTCATGCCAGGAACACTGCCAACTTAATACAGCAGAATTTCTGTGTTCATAAAGCTGCATGGATACTTTCACCATCATGTGACAGTCTCATCTTCATCTGACCAGTCAGCAGAATATCATGACTTTTAAATGCTCATTCATAATGTGTCTAAATGCTGCCATGTGACCTAACACCAAACATTCATTTGATAATAAATCATTCCTATATGAGAAACAATTTCTAGTTTAATTTTCTCTTTGTGACAAATTCAGTGCTTTCACATAAAAAGTCATTCATCTGTTTCAAAGAGGTAGAAAAGCACAAAGATAACTTTTCTTCATGTGGAAAAGTATTATCTTCTTTAGGCTGACTGCTGTTATTTAGGTCATCTGTATCCTTGGTTTTGCTAGTTTAGCTGTGTCAGTCATGAGTGTTAATAAAATCTGAATCTCACCCCTCTAAGATGCATGTCCAGCTAAATAATGAATTTAAATTAAGGCTTTTTCATGTCTGATTAAAAGGTAAAAGATGTCATGGCTCTCAAAAGAAAAAAAAAGTTTTTTTAGGAAGTCAGTGGTTTACAACATAATTCTTTGTTTCTTTGTGTTATTTGCCTTGGTTCCATGTTCTTTTCAATAAAGGAAAGCTTCTAATTGAGAAGAAATAACAGAATTTCAAATATTTTCCCTTCAATTGCCAGTAAAAATTTTCCATACTTTTTCTCTCAAGGGTAGAGTTGTTAATTTCTGGATAACACCACTTTTCCATTTTACATCATGAAAGGTGTAGATATATGCATCGATTTTTTTCTTTAGTAGAAGTTTAGATAACATTATACTTCATTATTTTGTGAACCTCAATGATTAATGGTTAATATGCTTAATAATCGTTAATGTGGAGAAAGTATCCATAATGGCTCAACATAACTGTCCCGTTTTGAATATATTGTAAAATATTTTTACACCCCTTTGCACCTGTTAAAGTCAGTATCAGAGTTCCCAAGGGCCAGGACAAGATTCTTTATTCATGATAATTCCTTGAGTTTTTTAAATGTTTTTCCTGTGCCCAAAGAAACTAACCCAACCAGAATTAGAGATGTAATGTAATAATGTAAAATCAAAGAAGGTAGTCTCAGTTTGCTTGCCATACAGACAGCAAGAACCTATTTACTATATTTTCACTTTTTTTAGACAACATTCCAGCAGAAGAGCAGATGTTTCATGTTTGTGTTCTGTCCTTTTATACCTGAGGGGAAAAAAAACAGTTACCTGATGTTTCTGTACTGTCATTCAGCACCTAATGCGAAGCAGATTAAACCCGCATATGTTAACAGACTTCTTTTCCTTAAAAGGCTTATACATGAAAGAATTTGAGGAATTAGATAGAATTATAGTTATATATAGAGAGTTACAGAGTACATCAATAGAGAGAGATATAATATATGTATAGCTGTAGAATAGGCAGAGCATACTGTATAAAACAACTGCTTTGCTGAGCACAAGAAAAGGAAAGCTTGAGGGAAGCTCTGCTGAGAAAGGATTAAGAAAGGATTGGTCATAAGGCAAATATCATCTTCACCAAGGGCTTAGCCCTGCCTGGAACTGCAGATGTGCTGTGATAAGTTTAAGATTCTGCACCTGAAAAAGTCTTTGAGTCTCTTTTTTTTTAATCTATTTCCTTTAGCAGCTTTTTAAAAGAGCTGTCGGCTGATTTGCAGCAGAGAATATTTTCAAATTTGACAACACTGTTTATTGTCTCTGTGCTAAGAGAGTGAAATCAATTTCTCATGAGTATTTGAACCCTGGGGTCAATGAACTGAATTTCGATTATGGAAATTACAAGTTACTTACACTTGTTGTCATGTAAGAAAACATTTCTTGTAATTCATTAGCTTTTGCATTTGATATTCTTATCACTACACTGATGTCCAGGCAATGCCCTGCCCTAGACCAGTAGAAATCTAGGGCAGCTGTTGTCGCCTTTGTTATTTGGAAGTGACAGTATTCTCATTTTCAAAGTTGAATGCTAAACACTGGGAAAATATCAAACCAGAAGGGTTTAATTTGATGGTCTTTACAGTGCAGTTAGGACCTTTGCTGAAATTCAGCATTTTTTAACATGCAGGATATGTTGTTTTGCCTTCAACAATTTAGTGTAAATTGGTCTGAAAGTGGTTACAAGTGATAAAGTAGTTTATGATGCACCAATATGTCATTGATGGGAAGAATTGAAGAATATGAAGTTGTAAAAAAAAAAAAAAAAACACACAATTATGTGACAGACCAACTAGGAATCTTCTGCTCTTTAGGGGAGCTGCTACTTCTCAGCAGGATGACTCATATAAATAACTACTCACCAATGGGAATTAATAGCCCAACCCAAGCATTTACGATAAAGCAGGTCTTTCCTGATGGCCTTTCAATTGCTTAATTTACATTTGCTTGATGCTTTAAAGTATATGTGCTAGTGCTAAATACGTTACAGCGCATGAACAGAAATTAAATCTGGAGCTTGTGTACATTCAGCTGTTTTCAGTTGGAAGTGAATAGCTATTTAATAAACTATTAATGGTTGCATCAAGTGAAGGACTCTGCTGCCTGAAAGTTACAGGCACTTTTCTACAGTCACCTTTTGTTCCTCTCTGCTTCTCCATGAATCCTGCATCCTGTGCTACGTGGAGCCACAACTGCCAGGATCTGTTTTAATTACCCTTTGGCTGAGAATACCTTTGAAATGGGTTTTCCATGTCCTAGGCAATAATTTCTTTCACTGCCATATGAAAGGTCAGCTGGAAATTTTCCCTGTCTGTGCTGTGTTTAAAAAAAATAAAGCAGAGTCAATACTGCTTTTTGTAAAGAAAAGTCTGCTGCTATCCACGTGTGAACTGAGCTCTCAGAAAGCTGAATAAATCCCTGCATAGGAGCTAGGCAGAGTAGTCTAATTCTTGCATCTAGTTCATGCCTAAACTCAGGCTAGATATTTGCAGTCAGTACTGTTAAAATTGGATTTCCTGGGGAACGCAGACCCATGAAAGGCACCGGTGGGTGTCCCTGCTTGCAGTTTTGTATTAGATTCATTAGTGCCTCCTAGGTGCTATTTTAATCCACCAAATTGCTGTTGCTGGCTTTGTACTCTGGTTTTGTCATCTCAGCTCTTTTTCCCACAAATTGAGTTGTCCATTGACTTCATGAAAAAGAGCAGACCAGTGTACTATATAAGCTCTCCTGCCTCAAGAATTTAGCAAATATGGACAAAAGCAGTGGAAATTCACATGAACTCCATTACAAGTTATTATGGCACTTTGACGAAATGATACATTTCATTTTGCTTTTCTCCCCATTGTTCCATGGCATCTATTTGTGGGAACAAGCCATGAAGGCTTTCCTCAGTCCATTGATAATAAGTGTTGACATGAATGGATGTTAGAGCGGTTACACTGAGGCTAAACTTTCCTATTTTCTTTTATTTCCCTTCATATGAGGCTTTTAACACTATGTAAGGACCTAGATCAACTGATCTTTCTTCTATTATTTCTCATTTCCCCTTTTAATATTAGTAAGGAATGCTTTGCCTCCCTATCTGATGAGAATAATAGAAGACTACGTACAATTGCTGTTGCTATTATTGTTTATGATTTGTACCCATAATAGCTGTTTGCACCCATAATAGCTGTTTTCTGAGAACAGATAAAAGGGGCAGGTCCTGACCTCACAGACCATGACTTTCAAAGAGAACCAAACAGCTCTTTCAAGGAAATGACTCAACAAAACAGATGACTGTTGACCAGCATATCCAAAATATATTCAAGTAATACCTCTTGTCTGTAGGGCTGCTGTGGTAGTCTCGGGAGAAAATCAAAGCCAAATTCACTATGCAGATAGTTAGAAACTTTCACACATCCAGATTAGTTTTAAAAGGAAGCATATTAATTTTGTTTATTGAGATAGAAACAGTAAAACATTTAGAAATATATGTTCATTAAGATTATATGAGCATTCATCTGTATGAGAAGGAGACATCTAATATATTTTTTCCAATTTAGGCTCTGGAAAATGAGGAAACTACAACACAGGAAAAGCAAATCTTCGTTTATCAGCTGTGAAATGGATTGAATAAGGCAAAAGTCTGTATGCTAATAAGTATGCTGTTCTCGTAGCTTCCACAGATGACAGTGCAGCCGAGAAGAAAGGTGGAACGCTTCATGCCGGCTTAATTGTTGGAATCCTCATACTGGTCCTCATTGTGGCTGCAGCCATCCTGGTGACTGTCTACATGTACCACCATCCAACGTCAGCAGCTAGTCTCTTCTTTATAGAGGTAAGATAAGAGTAACGTGTTGTGTCACTAGTCCTCTCCTTCAGCTGGTGTCATTGAGATCTCCAGGGCAGGACCTTCTTATCCAAACCTGGAAAGTATTCTTGCAGTTATCATGTAAGGCTTGAAGAAATCTAGTTGCCTAACCTAGCAGGGGCTACCGTTTTATATGTTTGCCACTCTGCTGCTTCTTTAGCAACTATGAATGCAGCAATGTATTTATTTTGTTTTTACACGGGAAACAAAGTATGTATCACAGGTACCATTAAAACTTTTCCGCCCTTCGTTTTTACCGCTATCATAACGTTTTTCCATTATCTTTCATGTGCATTAGCATTTTATTTTAAGGGCTATATTTTCTTTTTTGTTTGTGTATTTGTTGTTTTCCTGGGTAAAAGTAAATTAATTCATTAAGTCTCCAGAAGAGCTAACTTACAGTAAGCTTGAAGTCGAAGCTTGTGTTAGCTATTCCCTACATTAATTTGTTGAAAGCTTTTAACACATAGCCTCAGAGTAGAGTAGGCAGGATTCTTTTCACCTAATTTTTACATCTATGTGTAAAATCATCTCAGTTCGCTGTATTTATTAGTGGTAAAAAGAAACAAACACTTTTAGATCATGATTCACCTGACCTGTTTGAGACATTTCCTTTAAGATCAGATAAATTGCCTTTTTTCTCTCTCAACTGCACATAACCAGCTTAGATGCAGACATCTATACTGTAGACGCTGACATTTATTCACTTCAGCACCACTGTGAAAGAAAGATTTTCTATGGGTGTTTGGTGATACAGAGAATGCAAAATTTGAGTTTTTTCACCTCAACAACTCCTCCATCTTATGATAAATATACTCTAGTTAAACACTGCTGATAACCCTGATACACAGTACTCTCTTGCTTTCATGAATGTGGACACTTTGTAATGGATTGTGACAAAGATGAAGAACCACTGGAAGGGTCACTAAGTCTGTACCTAGAGATTGTTTAGATAAAAGTCTGGAACAGGGAGATAAGTCACTGATAAAGGCTTGCTGCTATCTTAGCAACAGCAGCAAAGTGAAAGTATGAACATGTACAGAATGATTCATCTTGCAAATCATATAGCAAATATGCTGCTTATATGCATAGTAATCTGGTCACAGACTTGAGGCTTTAAGTCCGCCTCTCCTTTGTGATCTCTGTATTTACCACCTAATACAGACAAAGCCACCTCACTCAGATTTTCTCACAAACTCATCCCCAGGCCCAGGCATGATGCCCCTCATGTTTGCTGTCTAGTTCCTTTTCTCGTTAAGCTTGTGAGTTGAAGACAAATACATGCAAATTTTGCACTCTTTAATTTTGCACTCACCACTGCAACCCACAGTGACACCCACACAGAGCTGAATGTGGACTGTGATAAATTCATTCCTAGCTGAGTCAGATGGATTTGCTCAAATTTGGTTTCAGGTGCAGGTCGAATACCAACCTTAATAGTAGTTTAGCTTCTACTTCTTCCCTTCTTTGTCTTCATCATATTTTTTTTCTTTTACTTTTTACCCTTTATCGATATGCATTTATGTGTGAACTTTAGCACTAATAGCAATTAATGCACAAGGAAGAGTTGGTAAAGTGCAAGGCATAAGGAAGAATCTCTTCTGCCTGTTTGCTTCTGGGTTTCACGTGACTTTAGATGTTTTCACAGGCATGTTGTTAAATCATCCTCTTCTGTGTGCACTTGTCTCATGTTTTTACTTGTATTTTGGTCCAAGGCCCTTTTAAGTTTGAATCAACTGCTTACCACATCTGTCATCCCATTGCTCTGCCTTCAGTAAACCAAAGCAACATGATCTGGCCTCATCTGAGAAGTCTTCAGAGGAAGTTTTGGCCAGCATGAAGGCAGGGAGTCAGCATTTGCAACGTCTTTTCCCAGCTGGAGAAAGAGATACTGATGCTAAAACATTTTTTTATAACATCAGCAGAATAAAATCCTTCTGTGACAGTTTTCCCATGGGCAGAGTATTTTAGGGAGCCTAATCAAACATTGCAAGTTAAGACTTTCTCAGCCTTAGGCAAAGAGCCAAACTAACTTGACAAATAGAGAAACTAGTATTCTTTCTCTTGGGTTCAGCTTACATGTACCACAAAAAATATATATGTATTTCCATGTTATAAACACAAATAGCCCCTGAAGGCTGTGTATGTCTTAAGAATGAGGATCATACATTGACAGAGAAGTATGGGTGTTTCTGCTCACCAGTAATCATTCTTTTGACTAAAGATCCCAATTTAAAAATTACTTAACTTCATTGCCCTCAGTGTAGTTTCCCAGATCTTTATTTATTCTGATTCAGCTGCCTAGAAACACAATGTACACTCAGACACACACATGCATGCACATATGAATCTCTTTCTAAGTTATTTGTTTTGCTTCATTTAGGTTGGATAATATCATAAATCTGGTTTTGTGAGTGGCCACACAGTGGGTTCAACTAGTGCTATGGAACATGGGGTGACCTCAGGGAGAGAAGAGGGAGAGAGGAAGGAACAGCTGTATATCATCAGCAAATAAAATAATAATGCATAATCAGAGCCTGGGAATGTATCTTGGTTCTTCCTGAAATAGCTAGAACTATGTCTCTATTAGTAAATTAAATATTTGCAGGACTGCTCATTAGCATAGAAAGCAAACATCATGGAAGGGTCTACACTGTCATTTAATTCTGCCAGCCTCCCAGTAAGGTGACTGCTTGCAGACTAACTGTTAGTATGGACTAAGGATGGTTCCCAAATCCTGAGTCATATCTGGAATTGTCTGAGAAAGCACTAGATGTTGGTTTTGGTTTTGGTTTTGTTTTTTTTTCTAGAAATTGAGTGTTTGGAATGGTTGTGTTCGGTTATGGAAAACATTTACTGGCACTGTTTAATTTAACTCAGATCTAGCATAAGACATTTTGCAGATTTTGACCTTCTGCTCCTCCATTGTCTACCTGGAAAAAGGAAATAGAAGTAAAAATGGAAGTAAAAAAAAGTTGGAGCTAGTTCTTGGGTTTCAGGCAAGTAATTGGCATTTCTGGTTCACTTCTGCATCTGTGCTTATAGCAGCACTCATCATTTAACTGCCATCCCTGCATTTCATACAGCATTTCCAGTTATTTCTGCATTATATCATAGACATCATATATTTCTTCAAATAAATGCAAAGTAAATAGGATATAGAGTGAAAAAGAAAGAAGGAATTAAAAAAAAACCCAAATCCTCAGCTGGCTTAGACAGGTGATGAAGCCTACAGTTCTGGGCTGATTTCTTTTGGGGTACGTCCCAGTTTTAGGGGGTATGCACTCCCCCATTCAGACAGTATGTTTTAGTTTGAAAATGGCTTGACAGTCACCAGTTTAATTTTGACCAGAAGTTAGGGCTGAATTATGTGCCGTGAAGATGATGAGTAAAAAGAAGAGAACAAGTACATTTTTCTCTTCTTTCAAAGATTTGCAGTGTCCTGGCATTTTCAATATTGCCATTGATCTCACTGTCATTGCCTAGCACTGATAGTAAAGTTATTTTTTCCAAAGCTTATCCAGCTCAGCAGGACCCAGAAGCTCAGCAAGGGAAACTTAAATCATCCACAGGGGAAAAGCCTTAAAATAAATAATTAACACTGACAATAAAAGTCAAAGGTGGGGAGGAAGGAGGTGTTCTGTTTCTCATCTGTCAGCGGCCAGCTACTTATATGATCCTTAGACTGCAGAAACTTTGTTGTAATAAGAACTGTTTTCAATCACAAAGAGATACTTTGAACAAGCACTTCCATCAAATTAAAAAGAAAAATAAATGAAGCAGGTAACTGATCCTATTGAATTTTACAGTCTGACGCAATCTGTATTTCTGAAGAGTTTCTGCTAAATATCCAATTCACATGGTGTCAGGCAAGTGATTTTCCTAGAAATGTATGTCTGAGGTATAGACTCAGGTATTTGAAGGCCTGTCTATTTCTGTCTGGAATTTGCCAGATAAATTGGTGTCTGTAGAAGAGATTAAGTGCATACACAAATCAATTGCCTAAACAATATTTCAGGTCACTCTTAGCACATACCTACATATTATGACCAAGGTAGGTAGAAATAGGAAAGGCATTCATTGCTGTGAGATAGTAGATGTCCAGGCTACCCAGACAGATTAAAAGTGGCCTAGTGATATCACACTAATGGATCTTGCTGGTATCAGGTGAACACATGTTTATTTACCAGTGGGCCTTGTGACAGTTTCCTCCCCCTCATTTCTTAATTCATTTGTCTAAGTCTATATGATTGGTCTGGGGCTCAGATGCTTAAATTTAAGTTTAGAGTGATCTGTATTTATGTATAATGAGAATATCCTTTAAACATGAGTGACAAAATATGGTTAAAGAATGGAACTTTGAAATAGATTGGAATGTGTTTCTGTTCTTCAATTAGATAAAGAACTGGACATATGAATATGAATAGGTCCAGTAAATACGTGAGTGTGTAAGATACAACCTTCAGTGAAACAGTCCTATGAAAAATTAGAAGAACAGAAATACAGGAGAATTGAAAAAAAATGAATAGGAAATAGAGAAGACAAAATCAAATGAGAACATTCAGCCCAAAAGGTACTGGATACCTTCAACTTTGGTGCAGTTTAGTGGGAAATGTTTGCTAGAGAGTTCTTTCAGTATTTCAAAAGATTGTGCCTCCCCTCTAAATCAAGTAACAGTTTATGTAATCTAGGTGTGAAAGGAGAATCTGCCTATGTGTGTCTTGTGAAATCTGCTGTTCAAATTTACAACTAAATGGGAATGAAGTGTTGAGCCATACGCAACACTTTGGGACTTGACAGTGATTGAAATACATAGAAAAGAACATTTTGATAATTGGTGAAATCTTCAGTATAAGGAGAGGGGGAAGATGAGAGAAGGGTAGAACTTTAATGATGGTTTTCCTTCACTGCTCTTCTGACTTGGCAGACCTGTAAACAACTGTGCTCATCCAGTTTTTCTTTCCTGAATGATCTGTAGAGAATAGAATGCAAGAACATCAGAATATTTAATAAATATTACCAATTTCCTCCTATCCATCACTAATCTAAAATTGTTTTCATGCAAACGCATGAAAGGAAATGAAAGAAAAAAATAAACTCTTAGAATTAATTCAGCCAACAAAGTAGAATTATTTCCAGTGCCTTTAATGAATTACCACCTCAGGTGAGAAATATTCAACAGACAAATATTGAAGAGAGAGTGTTTATCTTTGTAATGTATTGCATCCAAATGTCCCTTGGTTCTTTAGAAAGAAGCATGGAATCAATCAAATTTCAACATTTTAATACTACTTTATGTATGTGTTGTTTGCCAGTCCTCCCATAATTGATCTTTTTCAGTGCTTATCACATGATTTATATTTTTCTGTGGCATATGCAACCTAGACTTCCCTTCTTGCTTAGGTGTACTTTCATTCTTTTCATGTGTTTCAAAAACCCATCTCAAAAATATTGGATTAATTTTGTACCATTTTCTTCACTAGAAGTCTAAATTGATTGTTTCCTTTGTTTTCAAGATGGTATTGATTAGGGACACATTGATTGCTTTCCAGTTTGCAAGTCTGTGTAGAAATATATACATTTTACTGATTTTTTCCTCTTTACTGAGTTGTAGCTTGCTGTTCAGTTGAAAACTGTGTATATTGTTGTTTTAGAGTTGTGTCATTGGTAATCTCGTGGCTAATGGTAGATAGGTCCCTTGCTGACAATAGAAAATAAAAGAAGAAAAGAGGCATCACTTCACTTGAAAGGTCCCTGGGCAGTGAATGGAGACTCTTAGGATCAAAACTATTAGCTCTTTTTCCTTTCCTTCTCCTGAAATACAATAAGTTTTACCAGAAATTTACTGAAAGTTACTATTTAGCAAGAAATCAGACTACCCGAGGCTGTTAAATGAGTTTAAAAAAATGTATAGACTGCTGCACTGCAAACCATATTCAGATCGACACAATTTAGCTTTGCTTAGACAGTATTCAGTTAAATACTGTCAGATATCCATTAAACCTTTCTTTTGGTCACCTCTTGAATAAATCACACAATTAAAGAGGTCCTATAACACTCATGAGGCCTTCATATTAAAAGAAGACCTGCAGTCAACTGCAAGGAAAGCTGGAGATAGCTCAGTGCAACAACGACCAGAAAACACCCCACTTTCCACTCTGCAGTGCTGGGAGGTGAGAGCCTCCCTCTTTTGTGCTCAGAGTAAGACAAATAGCTCCTGTCCTTGCTCCAAGATTTATATAAAATGCTTTACATAAAATATACTGCCAGTCACCAACAGTGGAGCAAACAGCTTGATGTAAGAAATTTGCCAGGTAAGTCTCTGTTTGCATGGATTATCTGCCTCTACTAAATTTCTTTCATTTTATCTTACTGATATTCAATAGGAACTACATTTTTAAACAATACATATTTTAAGTAATTCATTTTTCTGTATCTTAAAGTATACCTTGTTTTGGTCTTGTAAAGTTACAGGTACTTTCCTCCAACTCATTCGTTTAAAATAATGAACTCATGGCAGCTCCAATAATACGAGAAAAAGCCCACTCCTGCTTTTCTGCTTTGTATTAGGAAGCAGGAGTTACAGCTCAACACCCACAGCTTGGAGGATTTCCAAGGTTTTTAATCCCAGAGAATGAAAAATATTTATTCCTGTTAGATTGGAAGGCAAAATTAAGGGATTAGTTTAAATACCCAGGTTGTTTTCTCCTCACTTTTTTGAAGGGCCAAGAGGGAGATAGTATAGTTTGGGGAGCTGGGTTGTTTTTTTGTTTGGATCCCGTTATCTCTCTGCTTCCCAGAGAAAAGGGGAAGGACTGCATGAGACTTCCCCTGAGCTGCTTCAGTATCTCCAGGAACTTTGAACCATTAAAAGCAATTAGGTCAGTTTGGGTTTTATCAGTTAAGCCTGTAATGTATCTACATTTTTGAGAGTCAATAGATAAGCCAATTAATTGAAAGCTTCTCTATGCTGTCTTTTAAGACTGGCAGCTACTTACAATATCCATGAAACAAAAAAAAAAAAAAAAAAATCAAGGAGACTGTTATTAGGACTGGAAAATCTCACCTCAGACATAAAAAGAAACCACTAAAAAGCTGCAATTCTAGTATTTGGAGATGACTTTCAAGTGTGTTGGTTTATTTTTGGATCAACAGCTGATGCTTACATTGTATCCCTTTGTATCAATAGAATTGTTACATATGTATTTCACACTTCATCATAATGAAAAGGCAATTAAAAATAATAGCCCAAAATGATAGGACTGTTTTTGGGCAGCAATGTAGCAAGAAAGTAGAAATTAATCTTAGATATACTTAAAGGAAATTAGCATTTTAATGGATTAAAATTTAGCTAATCCTTACATGCTGCTGAGATTGATTTTAATTATTTTAGCTACTAGTTTTCCATTGCTTTTTGCTTCAGAGGCCTCTCAAGTCAAATTCTTTTCTCATTTATACTAGTGTAAATCTAGAATAACTCTTTTGCCTTTAATTCAATTACTTCTGATTTACCTAGTGGATTTGCTTTAGGGAACAGCATGTGATCCTTTTTCATTAGCAGTAACCAAGATGTCCTTCTTAATTTTGAAAGCACTCTGAATCAAGCCTAGGTAGGAAAAAAATCTGCAAAGTTGGAATAGAGTTAAGTTTTCTTATTAAGAAAAGCACCTCCATTAAAGAGGATGGTGCTCTGCCTTCCTGCTTTGTAAGAAGACATTGCATTGGAAGACCTTGGATTATAAATTACCTGCCAAACAGAATTTAGCTCAGGATGCCTCAGAAGCAACCTGACCCTACAATAGGAGAAAAAGAAACCAGCTGTGTCTTCCTAACAGTGATGCCCTTGGAAGTTTTTGTGTTGTGTCCTGAGGCAGACGTGTTGTTTGTTGGTAAGAGGATTTAGACCCTCAAGTTTTCTTTAGTGGCCCCTGTTCAACAGCACAGTGAGTCCCAGTAGACTGTTATTGCTGCAGGTGGTCTGTCATTGTCAGGACCCCTTCTCAGAAGCATGAAATATCCTGAGCAGTTGGAAGCCAGTAAAAATGGGGTATTTTAGTGCCAACAAATTAAATACAATATATATTTTCAAAAGAAGGGTGATAAAGTAAAACCGTTTTGGTCAGTGGGCAACTTTCTTCTCTCAAATATAAGGCAGAAAAAAAAATCCGTGTGTGATCTAGCCTTGAAGTTTATTTGACTACTAATGGAAGTATAAGCCATAAATGATCATCATTGTTTTCCTCTGATGTTTCACACAGCTTGCTATATCTCCTAGTTTTTATTCCAGGGAGACTGTAACTGTGGGCAGTAGAGAATGGGCAGTATCAACATATTTAGCAGCTAAATTTTTAAATAGGGAATAGGCATTTTAGGAGAGCTTTTTCACTAACTGACTTTAAGAAGGAGTTGAGTGCCTTGCTTTCCTACAACCTATTCTCTTTGACAGAATCTCACCATAATCACCCACATTCTGAGGCACACCAAACATTAATTAGTTTGAAAAAGATAGGATTTCTAAAATATTCCTTCTCAGAGATATCACAACCATACCAGAATTGTTTTATCTGCCCTTGAAATGATTCATTTCGCTTCTCTGTTTCTTAGCTGCTTTTAAAGCAGTCAGCAAGGATACTAATGAAAATTGGCTAGAACCTCTTATGACCTTTGTACTAAAGAACCACAAGTATTTAAATGAAAAGGATGCTTTCGTCTCAATCATCAAAGAAAACAACTCAAATAGAACGATGTAACAAGAGACAGAAAGTCCTTCCTTTGGCAATCCACAAGAAGTATGCCAGACTTTAGTCCTACATAATTAAAAGTAGTCTAGTTTCAGTGTATTCTGATACATGTTGCATGGAGCACATTCTGTGCAGAACTAGTAAGGAAGAGCAGTGGACAGATCTTTTAGAATGGTGGGTCAGCAGGTCTTTATGCAGCCAAATTCACAGATAAGGTGGTCAAGCTTTGGAGAAAAGGATTCGTTGCTCTAGTTCTTGTTGCTGAACTGTGCTTCTCCATTCCTGTATCTTCATGGAGTGGGTTTTAGCACATGTGAAAGTGAAATTGCAGGGCATTGTTAAAGATTTTTATTATTATTTTATTGTTGCACTTTTCATGTTCTGGAAGTTTATTTTCTTTCTGTTGTAGCGGCGTCCAAGCAGATGGCCAGCGATGAAATTCAGAAGAGGATCTGGACATCCTGCATATGCCGAAGTGGAACCAGTGGGTGAAAAAGAAGGCTTCATTGTATCAGAGCAGTGCTAAAATTTCTAGAACAGAACACCAGTACTGGCCTACAGGTGTGAGACTTTTACTTTGCCTCTCTTTAAAGAAAGAAGCCCTAAGCTGCTGTAGCCTGATAGAAAGAAGATTTTGGATAAGCTTTGTCCAAGAAGAAAAACTATCCAAGATACCAGGTCACCACTGCACAGTAGTTTTGGGTAGCGGACTGAGATTCAGTGATTCATGCAGAGCACTTGTCAGTGGACACCTACGGTATCAGAACTATGGCACAAGTGCCAGCTATTGGCTTTAGGTATGGGGATGCATAGTAATCAAAAATATAATAAAGCTTTGGTGCACAAGGGTGTTACCCTTTGGTTCCAGTGTTCTTCTCTGGTATCACAAAGACTGAGTGACAAATCTGTAACCCTCTCAGTGCAAAGAGCACTGATCAATGTTCACAGGTGATTTGAGAAAAGTATTCCAATGCAGGTAAAGGAAAAAAAAAAGTGACTTTTTTAATACTTCTACACATGAATGTGGAAAAACACTCACTTTTCAATTCTAAATTAGCCTGCCCACATAAGTGAGTGAGTTACAATGTATATGTTTCTTGTATGCTGATGAATAATATCTTTCTAAACAACTCATGATAAGTCAACACAAGCTAGTAGGAAATGAAAGTAACAGAATTTTCACAGTTTTGAAATTGTGTCGTGAAAGGAACTCACAATGAAATCGTATGGATTTTCAGTTTCAGTGGTCACTAAAGATTAATAATCAGGTTCGCTTTAAGGGATATCTTTCATTTCTGAACAGTAAAATGGACTGAAGTGAAGGCAACAGATGCTTTTAGGTGACAGAGATCTTATGAATGGTTTCTCAGGCGATGCGATAAGAAAAATGTTAAGATTTTAAACATATGGGTTTCTATTCCTTGCCATTTCATTATGAGTCCTTCCAGAGAAGAGCCACAAACTTTAGTGCACCCCTCCCAAAGATCCAGATACAAGTGTTATTGAACCCTGCTGATTCATACAGTGATTTTGTTTAATGCACATAGTAGTTGCATAAATATATATATAAATATATTTTTTTTTATAGCTAACACAAGGCAGGCTCTTGTGACTGTTAAGACTGCATTTTTGTCATCCAGACAAAGGAAATGGATTGCATTACTGCATATTTCCACTGAGTTGTAAAATAATCCTTAATATTAGAATATTTTTATGTTGTTTAGGGAAAGTGGTTCATGTAGTTGCAGTGCCGTAACCTTTCTGCCAATTAGAACCACCCTTTCTTTAATATCGACCCTTTCCCTCCCTGGCTAGGGAACGATAATACTGTAATTTCACAGCACCAAAAAAGTTACTCCTTCGGTGGAAGGAGTTATAAACATTGAGACCCAGATTTTCCATGAGGAGTGGGAACCTAAATCCTTCGATGATCTGGGCCTAAACTATTAAAATAGTAGGTATGTACATTTCATTGCAGTCATTGACTATCATTTTTTTTACATATGGTAAAAACAGAGGCACTTGAACCGTTTTAAAGTAAAGTATTCAACATTTTCAGTTTGGGGTCTCAAGCAGTTTAAACAAGTTGTACATACGACCTTAATACATTTATTTGCATTTCTTGTCAGTGATTTATGGTCTCAATTTGGTTACTTATTCTGTTTCAATTCTTAATTCTGTTTAAAAATAACATGATTTCATTTGTTATTCTGTTTAGTAAATAATACAATGCTGTATTTTCTGTATTCCTTTATTTTGTGTAACACACTCTCTTTTATCTGTTTGAAATCATCTAGTGTGAGATTTAAATTGTTCAAGCCTAACTGGTATTAATTTGAAGGTACTAACAATCACAATATCCTGAAGCCTGGTGAAAATCCTGCAGCGAGTGTTCTTTCCATTCACGTGGCTCTGCTGAGCCCTTCTCCTGGAAGGCTGGGATTATATCGCAGGCTGTTAATTCCAATAGCAATAACCCAATGTATGCACATATATATATGGTGACACTCATTTTTATTAAATAAAAAGATAACAGTGCACATCATTTAGATACATATTTGGTGTCCAATACTTATCATTAGTTTTCTAGGGATATTGGAAGTCATCAGCTAGGGTTGATTGGCCAAATAAAGCAATTACAGAGCTTCCATTTGAACTATGCTGGTATCCTCTTTGAAATAACTGCTGTTTCAGAGCACATCTTGGCAAATTTTACTAAAAAATCCAGACAATTACTGAAATCCAGACAATACCGCAATAAGTTTAAGGGGTATTTCATATAAGAAAGGAGTATTTATATTATTGTGGGTTTACAGGTCTGCACTTTGTCTGATTCGCTCACATTTTTCACATGGTTTTACCCACAGATGTAATATGTAGCTTCATGCAGTGAAGCTGACTGAATATTTGTAATATTGTCTGACAAATACGGTGACAATTTTCAAAGTCATGTTTTTAATACTTTTGTTCTAAGGCCCTCTTGCACAGCTGAAGGATGATTATTAGTAGTGGCAGACTAATTTAAATTTCATAACCCTTAAAATAACAGATATTATTTTTTCACTCTTTGTCCACCTCTCTCATTTTGGGGGCTGATTTCACTGACCTCTGGGGAACATCTTAGTGTACTTCTTTTGGTTTTTGCCATGGTGTAATGTGCTATGGATTATAACATGACCTGTTTCTGGATTAATTTAATGAGACTGATTGATAGACATTTGCTTCTGTCTGAAAAGAACTGATATCTGAAAAGGAAAATTCCTGCCTTTTAATAGAATGTATAGTGTCTCATTGGTGTCTGCTTTGATATATTCTGTGGTATGTTCTATTTATCCCAATAGGCAAAAGTTAATTAAGTAATCTGTTGCTGTTTTGTAATTCCATCTGGTTTTCTAATTTTTTAATAATTAAAATTGCCACATTGAAAAATGATACCAATATGAATCTTTACTCCAGCAGGTGTGATAAAATATTGGATTTACCTGTGAATCCTATTCTTATGATTTTATATTTTATAAAGTGCTAGTTATTTGATACAGATTTTAAAATGTCCTATAACCCCTTCCCAGGCATGCAGATTAGATTCAAGTGTTATCGAACAATTCATAAAGGAGTTTCCATCCAATGTCTTGGGAAGAGTGGCTTCACTAGCACCCCCACTGGTCCTTAAATTTAAAGTGCCCCAAAACATTTTATTTATTTAAATATTTACTTAAAGTGGCATTTATTCTACTTGTTAATCTAGCTCTTAAACCTTGACTGTGAATTCATGTATCTTTTGCATGAGTAATGGTGGAAATATTGCAAAATATCGCCCTTTCTGGTGATATTTTCTGGTTTAGTGGTAAATGTTCGATTACATCTAATACTCTCAGACCTATGCTGCAGCGTAGGACATACATCACAGAAAAAGGCAAGTATGAACAAAGATTCAAAGCACTTTACTAAGTAGCTCTTTAACTCTCAGTAAGATGAGTCAGTGAATTAGATATATGTATCCTATACAGCCACATTTCTAAAAAAGACCTTTAAAGTTGCCAGATTGTGTATTCAGACTCTAAGAAATGCTGAAAATACAAAAAAAAAATGGTAATCTTGTTCCCTGTGCATATATATGTTGATGAAGACTTACTTAATTGCCTGCCATGTTTCTGGATTTACTGCATGGCTCATTTGATGCAGAGAGTAGAGGCTGCTTATAAGAAGCAGCTATTCCATATTTTTGTCCTCCTTGCTTACACTTTTTGCATTCTTCATTGCACACTGTTCAAATCCTACTCTGAAGATAAATTTAATTTATTTATGAACTTTGTTACCCATCGTCATAGTGGAAGCATATGTAGATCCTCATTATTTTGCATTCCCAGAAGTCCTGAGAGGGAGACATTTTTTCAGAAAAGTCCAATATGAAACTGTTCTTCCTTCTTCTGCCTCCCTCGTTCTCAGTTGCTAGTCCTGTAGATGACATAGGCATCACGTAAGTAACAACTTCCTCCATTATAGCATTCTAATGTAGCTTCAGATCAAGTTATTTTTCTATAATGTGGATAATGTAATTCTCTGGAAAAGCATCATTGTAATTCGAATGATTGTGGGAACCAAATTAAATTTGCAGAATATTTGACTTTGCTGGGAGAAACATATTGTCCTGCTTGCTGGGAAACTCTCTAGCCACTTTATTTTCCATAGCCGTCGACATTTGAATGGCAAGTGAGTGTTTTTGGCAAGTATTCAGTTGGTTCAGATACTTGGGTAGTGAGTTTTATGTTTTGAATTCTGTTGCCAAGGTTAAAATGTTGCAGTCTGCACAGCAGTAAGACTTCTAAAGAAGAGCATGGGAATATTTCTATACTGTGTTCAAGAATCACTTGGCTAAACTAAAGAAACTGCCTATAACAGTATGCATCTTTCTTTTTTTGCAGAGACCCTCCAAAACAAGACTCTGCAAGCAATTGCCAGGAACTGGCAGTATTTCAGGTAGTAGGTGTGGTAGTGGAGCATGCAGAGTACCCCATGCTGCCTGTTCCAGCTCATCGATCATCAAAAGAAAATTTAGCTTTTGGTGCATCCAGTTACAAAGGTTGAAGTAATTATAAAGTGGCTAGCTGATTATTTTCTGATATCAGCAATTAAGCTTTGTATGAAGACAATATTTGTCATCCACTTGGAGAGTATCTTAGCTATGCAAAATATGAACACAGCCACAGTATTAGCCATTAAGAGAATTGAAATGGAGCACAGTTTGGTTCAAATCAATGGTTTCACTCTCAAGGAATTAGTTGCAATGAGTAGAAAGAAGAGAAGCAAACACTCTTGTTCAGAGAAGCAAAAACTCTTGTCCAGAATAGGTTCATTGGTATCCTGATATCCTAACACTTGTGCAACTTCTTTCAAAGATCTATTTGAAGATGGAGAGAAAAAAAAAAAAAAAAGAAAAGAAAAGAAAAGCTACTGAGCAATAATACAATGTTGTGGTGTTTGTCCTAATT